GGTTTGATTCCAGTCAAGGGCATGTATGTTGGTTGTGGGCACATCCCCGGTGGGGGGTGTGCAGGAGGCAGCTGATCAATGTATCTAGCTCTCTCTCTAAAAATATTTTTTTATTGATTTTTTACAGAGAGAAAGGGAGAGAGACAGAGAGCCAGAAACATCAATGAGAGAGAAACATCCATCAGCTGCCTCCTGCACACCCCCAATGGGGAGATGCCCGCAACCCAGGTACATGCCCTTGACTGGAATCGAACCTGGGACCCTTCAGTCCGCAGGCCGACACTCTATCCACTGAGCCAAACCGGTTTCGGCTAAAATATATATTTTTTAAAAAAGGAAAAACAACAACAACAACAAAAACCTGGGGATGCACTGGGCTTTCCAGGTGGCTAACATACTCCCTGAAGACCCCAAAGGAAGGCCCAGAATGTTCTCGGCCAAAGGCACCAAGCTCTCCAGAGGAGAAAGGCCATGGGCCTGTATTAGCCAGGGAGCCCACGGCAGCTGGCAGGCTTGCGCCTTCTGTACTTCTCCCTCCTCACTGCAGGGCTCAGAGCCGACGAGGGGTGCTTTACCTCCATCTTATGAACTGGATTCTTGTCCTTTCCTCCAGGACATCTTGACTCGGGCTGGTTAACAAATCGTTCTTGGAGAGACGGTGCTTCACCTAGGAAATCCGGGGAGGGTCCACGTGATCTCGGCCCAAGAAGGATTCCGGGAGCCTGGACACACCCCACCCACTCAGCCCAGATCCTTGGCAATAGGACCTCCCTCCTTCCCCCTCCCCCTCTCCGCACGCCCCCAGGATGATGCTCTCCAACGCCCTCATTACCACGTCTCTGGTCACATGGACACCTTCGCCTTGGAGGGGAGGGGAGTTCATGGCCATCTTCTCCTTTATATCCTGGGAAGCCTCTTCTTCAGTCTGGAAGGTGTGTCACGTCCCCCTCTCAAAGGGTCACATGGTATCTCACCCCGCCCCACCCCAGTTCTTGCTCTTTTTCCTTCTCTTTTTTCCTTCCTCTCCATCACAACACACACACATGCCACACAGCCACACACACAAGCTCTAGCTCACTGTGCCTGCAATGAGCTCGCCTACTGCTACCTCCCCATGGGGTCCCAGGGTGTGTGTGTGGGGGGGGATCCCTGAGTCCTGGGCCTTGTCCCGAGGTATTCCTGAGACACCCTAGAGCTGGGGCAATACATAGGAAACTCTGAATACAGTGTGCTTGAGAAGGGCTAGTGGTGATTCCAATGCATCTCTTACAAAGATACAAGCCCCAGCATCCTCTAGGGCAGTGGTCGGCAAACTCATTAGTCAACTGAGCCAAGTATCAACGACACAACGATTGAAATTTCTTTTGAGAGCCAAAAACCGACTTCTGCACAAGGGCCACGAAGTTTCAATCGCACTGTACATGTGCACCCGCATGTGGTATTTTGTGGAAGAGCCACACTCAAGGGGCCAAAAAGCCGCATGTGGCTCGCGAGCCGCAGTTTGCCGGCCACGGCTTTAGGACATCTGGAGTGTTAGACACAGCTCTAGGCAGGGCCAATGAACTTGAGTTTCCCATTCTAAGGAGAAGGAAGCCCTGACCCCCTCCCCCACTGAGGCCAGCTCTCTAGAATTAGGGGTACCCTGAATCAGAAAGGGATTTTTTTACTCACTTTTTTCAACCAGTGCTCTACTACGGACACAGCCTCAGTTTCCACAACTTCAATGTCCTGCAACAAATTGGTAAGTTGATGCCCTCCAAATACCTAGCGATCCAGCCCCTCTCCTCCATTCTTGTCTAGACGTATGCACGGTGAGGTCTTCTCTCTAGGACTGCAGAAGGGAGTTCCGAAGGGAGAAGATACACGAGAAACGATTCTACGTGGCTACCGCCAACTTCGCCTACCGAACTGGTTTTTGGTGGGAAGGGCCACCCTACAGTTTTCCGGGTGAGAATGTACGCGATCCATGTGGTAATGATCATCTTTGGACTTATGCCAAGCCTCCTTCTGGGCTTCCTCCGTCCATTGAAGCAGCCTAAGAACTCTTCTGGAACAAGGAGGTCATTGAAGGGAGGTGCCCACCTGATTGGCTGCCCAATGATGATGTAACAATGCCCTTTATTCTCCAGAGTGAGAGTGGAGATAGAAAAATCATAAAGTAACCTACTTCAATGATGCCATAGCTCAGAAATGGGGAGGTATGGGGAAGGAGGAGGGAAGGGTATAGTCAATATGAGTCTGAGAAAGACACAAGAGGGAAGTTACCAAATGATAGAGATTGTGGGTGGGTCTTATAGCTGGTCACCAGTTTTGACAATGCTGAAGGAGAAAGATATGAATCAAAAAGAATAAATTTGTAACAAAATGACCCAGGCCCTCTAGATATTCATTCAAACAATGCCACTGGCATTTTTTATTCTTATTCTTATATGGGAGGGGGGGAGATAATCCAAATTGTGAGATCCTCCCTCACCCCAACTGGTGGGCGGAGTTATGACGTTACCAGCATCTGACATCCCCAAGACATTGAACTACCAAATCAGCGTGTGCCGAGTGCCCTGGGGCCTACCCCTTCCTATTCCACCCTGCGTCCAACCCTTTCCTGTTCCTCCCCTCAAAGGGCTCTTCACCACTCCCAGAGTCACTGCTCTCCATTTCTGTCTGTGGAGGCCTACCTGGTTGGGTCCCTTCTCCTCTCATCCTGATTTCTCTACCTCCATAATGAGTCCCGCTCATTACTGGGGAATAAATCTTCCTTTAATATGTCTTGGTGGACTCTGACTCGTTTCCTGGGTCTCATTCTCAAAAACTCCACTACAAGTTGAATAATTCTTCAGGGTAGTTGTGCTCCGTGTGGTGACTTAGAGATCCAGGAAGAATTCCATTTTCTGGTTCCATGGCCTCAAGATGTGATCCTCCATGACTCTCAAAGCAATAACTTAGGACCATTTTTTTTTTAAATAGAATAAAGTCCCTTAAATAACAATTATGATATGAGACAAGAGCCCCATGTGTCTGCTTTAAAAAAGTAAGACCAGGGTCTATGAGAAATATCAAGATATTCATGTTTGCCTTCTAAGGTGGGAAGATGTAATAGGAACTAGACAGGAATGAGAACGGAGAGATCATTAAAGCAAAAGGAAGCCAGCCAGCCAGCCAAGGGCTCTCCTGGTATAACAGCCCCACTCATGGCTTTTAGGGCGTCTTACATGGAAACTTTGCACACCATGGCCGATGTTTTAAATTTGTAGATGGACCTACTTTCATTTTTGTTTGTTTAGCTGGTGGGAACACTGATTTCCTTACTTGGACTAGAGGCATTCAATGGGAATGCTATATTTTGGTATTTGCCCTTCACCTAAAGACCAACTACAACGGAAAATAAGCACAGTAGGGATTGATAACCAGAGAGTATTTCGGAGACAGAACAGAGTCAAGACAGGAGGAAGATGGTGTGATAAAAGAAGGGAAAGTGTGTGAGGCAGGTAGTTAGATCACCAAAATCCACCTGGAAAGGACCCAGTGAGGCTGGGTGCCTGCTAAGCCCTTTGGGGAGAGGAGAGGTGCGATTTTACCACAGGGAGTCACCGAGCCACTGGCTCCTGGGTGTGAAATGTGGTCCAGAGCCAACTTGTTGGATACACATTTAGATAAAATGGTATTAAACAAACAAACAAAAAGACTATCTTTGTCACATAATTGAAAAGTCAAGTCTATCTTCTGGTTCTTAATGGTTTTGGATATTATAAAAAAAATAAAATAAAATAAAATAAAAATCCAGTTAAAAACATATGCATTCGCCCTAGTCAGTTTGGCTTATTGGCTAGAGTCAACCTGTGGACTGAAGGGTCCCTGGTTCCATTCCAGTCAAGAACATGGACCTCAGCCCTGACCGGTTTGGCTCAGTGGATAGAGCGTCGGCCTGCGGACTGAAGGGTCCCAGGTTTCATTCAGGTCAAGGGCATGTATCTTGGTTGTGGTCACATCCCCAGGGGGTGTGCAGGAGGCAGCTGATGGATGTTTCTTTCTCATTGATGTTTCTAACTCTCTATTCCTCTCCCTTCCTCTCTGTAAAAAAATCAATAAAATATATTATAAAAAATAAAAGAAAAAAAGAACGTGGACCTCAGATGCAGGCTCCTCCCTGGCCTGGGTCCTGGTCAGAGTGTGTGCCAGAGGCAACCAATTGATGTGTTTCTCTCACATTGATATTTCTCTGTCTTTCCCCCTCTTCCAATCTCTCTAAAAATCAATGGAAAAAATACCCTCGGGTGAAGATTTTTTTTTTTAAGTGCATTTGACACGAGCATAAGCAAGTCCCCTTTCAGTTTATGCTCAGATGCTGTCCTCAGGGAGGCCCACCCTGAGAGCTCAATGCTCAGCTGCAACCGAGACCCTTCCTTTGCACATCGGGGCCCCTCATCCTGCTCCGCTCCGTGAGTCCCCAAAGCACCTGTGGCCACACAGCATTCTACGTGACTCTTATGGCATGAAGTGTTCACTGCCGGTCCCTTCCCACCAGCACGCGAACCCGGGAGGAACAAGAACCTGGATTATTTTGTTCCCTGTTGGGTCCCAAGTGACTGGGACAGCGGACTAACACATCCTAGTGCCCTCGGTACACATCTGCTTAGTGAACGAGGAGGCATTCCTTAACTCCTTCCAGAATCATGTTAGACTGTGACTTCAAAATGGGTTCATTAGGGAGACCTAGGCCAGAGGTGACATTAACCAACACCAGTAGATCCTCTTGGGAACAAATAAACATTGGAAATACACTTTTTTTTTTTTTTGCAAATGTTTATTTATAGCAAAATACAAAACATTTCTGCAGCAGACTAATGTTACATGAGAAGCAGTTAAATACTAAACTTTTTCTTGTAATCCGTTTAACTGGCAACACTTTCCAAGCACACCTTCAGGGGCTTACACATCTGCTCATGCGATGCGCCTCTTTTTACTTTTCTTTTTTGTTTGCTCATGTATGTGTTTGTTTTCTATTTAACTTGCTATATGAACATGCAGTGTTACTGGCAATGAGTTGGTTAGTAGCCGGCAAGCCTGAAAATACCAGCGAGTGGAGCCTGGCATGGCTGCCCGAGCCAGGCGACCCGAGTCACGGCAATTGGAGCCACAACAGCCTGAGCCAAGCAGCCGAAGACTCACCCTCTCCCTAAGTGAGTTAGAGGCGTCGCTCAGCTTTTAACTGGCGAGAGTCTAAGGTCAAAGGACTCACTGTCCTTCATAGCCAGGGAAGGCAATATTGTTTAGGGCCTCAGAGCAGGCGTAGCTCAGGGGTCCTCTGCAGTCGGGTCTTCTTTGTTGATCAGGAAGAGGGGGAGGACCACCCATCAGAGCCCACCTAGAGGGGCGGGGGCCCAGACCCAGGTTGAGAGGTCAGGGGCTACGGAAGGAGGTACCCCCTGTCCCAAGAAAGCCAGCAAGAGCGGAGGAGAGGGTTCCGCCTGTCCTGACAGTCTGTGACTTGGTGGCTGGAGGAGCCTGCCTCCTGGACAGGCCCTTTGTAAATGCTTAGGGTTTATAGACTTTGAGGAAAAAGCACCTAGTGGAGAGTGTAGCTTTTCCGTATACACACCTCCATTTCCTGACAGCAAGGAGAGGGGTGTAGATAAGACACAGGCCATTGCCATGACCACCCCACTCCCAGAGTGAACCTGGGCCTCCCTCTCAGGCCCCTGGGGAGAGCATTCACTTTGGCATGCGCACCTGTATGCACCGCACACACGTGTGTACACACACACACACACACACACACACACTCACACACATGCCAGCCTTCGCACATGCACACACACAAACACAAATGCCTGGTTTCCTTTCAGAGTCTACTCGGGAAGCAGAATGGTCCCACCTTCACCATCATCCTCTGCTCCAAAGGGTCCCCTTGGCCACAGGTCCCCAAGACCCAGCCCCAGGCTTGGCACTCGCTGGCATTCCCAGGCTTTGGAGAAGGTGGTGACAGAGCAGGGAGCTCACCAGAGACAGGTTATACAGAGTGTAGAACATGTTCACATAAGGCTTTGGTACAGCACCGATTGAATGTTCTTAAGAGTTTGATTTCTAAGTTGTCTCGTAGAAGAAAAAAAAGCTTACTGAAAAAATAGTGTCTTTTATTTACTTTTCAGTTACATACCTGAAGTTCAAATAGTAAGCCTCGAGTTGCCATTCAAGTTCACACTGAAAGGTGTTTCCGTGTGCAGCTGTACAATCTGTTGGTTTGTCTTTCATCGTTAACCAAAGTCAGCCAACCGATACCATGAAGTCAGCTGCCCATGATCACCGACTTTAACCGGTCCATACATACAGAAAAGAGAAAACACAAAAGCAGCCCCACCCCACCTCCCTCCCCAAACCCCGGGGGAAATGGGGGGAGGGGATCAAATAAAAAATAAAAAAAACACAGCGAAGTTTAAGGAACCAGTGGAGCAGAGGAGGTTCAGTCCAGCTGGCCTCTTCAGGAACAGCACCATAAAGCACCCTAGCGCGGTGATGTTGTAATACTCGACATTCAAGGAATGGAAACGAGTCTGAGGGGTCTTCCGGAGACCTGGCATGGATGGGGGCTGACCCCCAAAGGAAGTTGAAGGAGGAAATAAGAGAGTCCGAAATGAGAGCAAGAACTCCCGAGACGAAACTGATTAAGTCGTATCCAGACTCATTAGAAAAGAAGAAGGAATGCAAGAGGCATCTAGAGGTATGGACTCTTTAAGAGGTCTCGAGGAGGCAGCCTCAGAAGCCCCTCCCCACCACCCACACTGCCTGGTCACCCCCCTCGGCGTGTCCACAGAGCACAGGGTGAAACGGGCGAGTGCAATGCCGACAAAATTGCCTCCAGCTGTGCAATGGAAGAATTCCGTCCAGGATGATACATTTCTCCTGGGACAAGAGGAAAAGTTGAAGATAAAAGGAACCGGACGTCACTGGCAGGAAACAGGATGTGGTCCCTTCCAGTCGGTGGCTATGGAGAAGGAGCACCTGGAGGAAGCACAGCCCGTCTGTGCCCTCCATCCCCGGCCCCACCACAGATGGTAGTTCGGAAATGAAATCCCATGAGACGTTAAGATTTTTTTGAGATTGATGTCTACGACTTGGTAAATGGAGCTTTAAACTGCTATTCTCTACTAAGGTAACACTTCAGCCTAATGTTCCAGCAATGGAGATCATTACAGAAGAGACCCCCTCTCCCGGGCCCTGGGCACTGTACACAGGAGACACCCCACACCCAAATGTCATGGCCAAGTCTCATGGCCAAGTGTGCTGTGTAGACCTCCTCTTCCCCTTTGTCCTATTATCTTGTCCACGGTGGCTCAACCTAATAACGCCAGCAAACAGAAGTGGAGCGACCCAGCAAAAAGCCAAAGAGCAATGAACACACCCCTTTTCCCCAAGCTACTGGTAGATGTAAAGGAGAGAAGGATGGGGCCCACCCTGATCCTTGGGTGAGCAATTCCCAGTGGAAAGAGAAGGGTAGGTAGGGTGGAGCTTGCAACCTCTGTCCCATACAGCAGACAGAGGTTGCCAAATTGAAACAATGCCACTACATGGGAGCCAGGGAATACAGCGCGGGCACATGGATCAGCTCATGTTCCTGGAAGAGGCTGTGGGGCTCAAAGGTGTAATCAGAGCACCCGTTCCACCAACCTATTAACTTGGAGGTTCAAAGACAGGAAGTTTTGTTGACTCCAGATCCTATCAGATCTCAATCCATTTATGCCTTTAGGAAAGACTGGCTCTTCAGAGAAACTATATATCTTTGCTGGGCAATATATCTTTCCTCTCCGAAGTCTACCTTTCCATCATCCTGACTGGGTGTGGCCAGGAGTATGGAAAAGGCAGAGGTTAAGAATTACATCCCCTCCGAGCTCCAGAATATCAAGGTAGGGGCTATGTCTCTTGTCTTCACTTTTGCTTGCATAACTGAAGAAGCCAACTGGAGGCTGTTGTATGGGATGGGATGTGTGCAGGTCAATGACTCCTGATCTCATACACCTGGTGGCCACTGAAGTGTCTACGGATTGAGCCTTGGACTTAATGTGGACAGGAGTTGAGTTTAGAACAACAGACCTAGTGGAGGGACTAACCCTCGGAGGGGCCTGTCGTGCTGAAGTAATTTATTCTACTAGTTGCATGTGCACCAGATGTGGGACAGGGTGTGTAGAGCAACACGGGAGGATGGCTTGAGAACAGGAACTGGAAGACTCCTTTGTGTGGGGGGAGGGGCTGCAAGCCAGGAAGGGGCACAGAATGTGTCACTTATTCTCTTGCTCAATCTCCCTACAAATTCTTACAACAAACATGTGGCTGTCTGTCCCTCTGGCCTCCAGAGAAGACTGCGGGAAACAACCACTTCTGAGGACACACAGCCAAGTGGGCCCAGAACTGGAGCCCTTCCAGTACTCACCAACAAAGCTCACTTCTCCTTCAGTGTCCTTGGGAACTGGGGATGTTCTGAGCAGGTAATTCAGGGACCCAAGGACAGGGCCTGAGGGAAGGGCAGTGACCCTTAAGGTCTATATTATGGAGGCAGAAGGGTCAGGAGTCAGACTCAAGTTCCACCCTATCTACCCTACTCTTCCCATAATTCCCCAAAATGTTAAAAGAGTCCCGTGGCTGTGGCATCTGGGTCTTCTAATGACCAAACTCCACGAGACAAGAGCTCTTGGGCAGCTGCCATGTCGGTTGGGGAAGAGGGGTTCTATTGCCTTTTAGCTGATAAGCTAATGAGAGTAGAGAGACTAATCTAGAAGTTTCTCTTAGCTGCCTGCACTACCTGGCCCTGCACCAGCTCCAAACACATGGCCCTCAGGTCCTGGCGAGTCAGAAGAAAGAGCCAGCACCAGGGGACCACTGCCATGGCTGCAAGGCATGTGGCTCTCGCAGCAAATGCGAGGTCTTGAATTCTCAGAGAGGCATCCTTCAGGGGACACAACGTTTCCTGGTCTAATACAAGTGAGCTCCTGCTCCCCAGAACCCCCAGTTCTGAGTCAAGTTCTTCCGTACACTTTTCAGTTCCCTAAGTCCCAGGCCAGGTGCCAGAAGGAGCTTCCACCTGGCTCCCTCCTCCCCGTCATGCCCCACATCCTTCTCTCACTCCTCATCCTCCCCTGAGTGTCCCAGGACTGACCCATCATCCCATTTCCAATGCCATCTTATTTTCCAAATAAAGTACTAACGGGGCGGGGGGGGGGGGGGGGGGGGGAGAAAGCATATATAGTATATTTATACTAGCTATCATATTCACACTGGTTCCAAGAAACTGAAGCGAGAACAAGCAGGATATTCTTCTCCGAGACAGTCCATGCAGTCAGCCTCGCAAAGCTATCTTGAGTCGCCTCCCACCTGCCACCACACCCTCCAGGAGCACCTGAGTCAGGACAGGTACTGCGAGCCCCTAAGCTGGATCCCTTCGGAGGAACTGAGTACCAACCCACAGCATCATGGGGGCCAAGGTGACTCTCCAAGCTCACCATAGTAAGTCCCTGTGCCAACGGTTTCCGGCCACTGTGTCCCCATCCCAGTGACAAGCACCCTGTGGGTCCTGGGTTAAGGGGCCATCTGATCCAGTCACTCCCACAACCTCCAGCTCACTTGTCCTTTCTGCAAGCGGACTGTGTTGCTGTTTTCAGATTTGTCATATATACACATTTCCATCAGAAATACCCAAGCAACTCTGAACAGAGCGTCTTAAAGGAAAAGGCAGAGGGGAAGGATGGGGAAGGATGGGGAAGAGGGGAGGGGGCACCAAGGCATGAGCTAGTATCCTGCTCCAAACATCTCTAAGCACAGGTACAAAAATAAAGCGAACTATGACTTCATATAGATATATAGATATATAGATAAGCTAGCTAGATAGACTGTATATAGGTTTCCTCTCTATGTATATATGTGTGCTGAGGGCACCAGGCCCCACTCCTCTGGCCCAGTTCCATCTCCTGCCCTCCCATTCCCCAGCCCCAGATGTCTCCCGTGCCTGAAGCCTCCCACTCATGACTATTGCACCCACCCACCCTTACCTAAGTCCCCTCCCCCCGTCTCCTTAAAATAGAACAAATTCTATGTATATATTTATATATTTTATATACAATCTCCATAAAAAATACACTGAAGGTGGTATAGTACTAACTGCACCCTCCTACCAGAACAGAAGTTGCCTACTAGAGAAAAGGTCAACCAGAAAGAGGCCCAAGGCTCCTCAGGTGAACTAGTGTGTCCCTACAGATCTCTTCACACACATACATACACACACAGCACACCACAAACACACACCACAAATACCCACACGCCACACACAAACATACATCACACACAAGATACACTCACCACAAACACACCACCACACACATACATGCACACACATGCACACTTGCGTGTGCACGCATTCTCACACACATACTCTTACTTCCTGAGCCCAGGAAAGGAGCACAGACTAGACACCTGGCTGGGAGCTGAAGCTCACACTGAGAATCTGGGAACGCCGGAGGGACAGGTGAGACAGTCCCTTCTCTGGCCCAGCCAGGACACGGTCTACTCATGACTGACCTTTGATTGATGGCCGTAGGCAATTTATAAAGAGCCGTTGATAGAATGATGGGCAATTTCCCTTCCAAGGACTGCAACGTAACCACGTGAAGGTCCATTCGCCTCCACTTGAAACAAGGTTTCAGATACCCTCCCCTAGAGGAAGCAAAAAGGCCCTCCGTCCTCATGACCAATATGAGGAGAGTTGGCATTTGTCCCTTCCATTTACGTATGTGAACACCCCACACATGGCCCAAAAGCATGCTTGTGGTATTTCTAAGGCTGAAAATGTGACTCCCCCCTCCCCAGCCCAATCTCTCTCCCCTCCCAGACTCCCTTCCCCACCCCACCATCTCCCCAGCATAAACCATGCACAAGGTCAAGATCCCTGGAGCCATAAATAAGTGGGGGAGGAAAAAAAGGGAACCTAATTGGTGTGTTTATGGGGTGTGGAGGGGCAGACCCTGCCCCGGCTCCTAAAATAAGTCCAGGAAACCCAGCACCAGGGACAGGGAGAGCGTGTTTCCCTGACAGCCATGCCTGTTACCATCTCCTGGGATGGGAAAGGCAGAACCAGAGACCAGGGGCAGGGACTGAAAACATGTTCTACTCTAATCCTCCTCCCTAGCTCTCCCGGCCAGGGCTCCAAAGCTGACAACTGTGTCATCGGTTCTCTTCAGAAACCCCCAACGACTACAACAGACCCACACGGGAGAGAAAACCCACGTGACTTCCACTGTTGGTTGCGGTTCTAACCAAAGCATTTAGCAATCAAGATACTCAGGACTCTTCCTCCTCAAGGCATGGCCAGCTATGAAGAGTCATTGCTCTCATTCTTTCTGTTCCCTTATCCTACCCAGAAACCCTTGGAGTCTCAAGACAAGACTCCTCTCTGGGGGCCTTTGGATCAGACTCATCTGTGAGGAATTATTCCATCAACTTCAAATAAGGTCATGAAAACACTTCTGCCCTCTCAGCCGCCCAGCACACAAAACAGCGGGCGGGGATGTGTTATTTGCTCCTGAAAGACATATTTGGAAAGCATAGTCGGGGAGGCCCAGAATAAAATCCTGGACCAGTGTGGACTTGCTCCCAGTCAGAGGGAGGGGTCGTGACAGACACCCCTAACCAGACAATAAAGAACTGCAGGGATGTTGAAGTCCAATCCGGGCTCTGAGTGTTGGCACTCCGAATTCTTCTAAAGAAGAGATGTGTCAATCTGCCTCCTGATCTGCAAGGAGGCAGAGCTGGAGACATCCAAGAGGACAGAGGCATCTGCTCTGGTCTTAGCCTAAATCTCTCCTCTCCTGCATCAACCAGAAAGGGGGGTGGGGGTGGGGAGGTTTAACCTATCAACGGAAGAGAAAGGGGGGAACAACCTCTAGGTAGCAAGCCTCTGGTCTGAAGGTGGTCTCCGCCCCTCAGAAAGGAAGGGCAGTCCATGCAAAGGCCAAGCCCTGACCCCTCATCTCCATCACCACCGACGGTGCCTCGGGAACAGTTTGAGGCCCTGGGAGAGGAGGGGAGGCCCCCTGCCACTTTGGCGGATGAGAAGGAACCCACGGAGCTCACAAGCTTCCACCTGCCAGAGCTGTGACTCCCCGAGAGTCTCAAACAAAGCTCCTCTCCGGGGGCCTGAGCACCACATAACAAATAGATCAAGTTGAAAGACATCAGAACACTGTGGCCTTGTTTGCTTTGAGCACTTAGTGTTAGAGGCAAATTCTAGAAGCAAGGAAGCCCAGCTCAGAAGCTAGACCTCTTCCAAGACCCGATCTGGGCCTAGGTGGCAAGACCCCAGCCCCACAGTCTGTGGGCAATAACAAGATCACTCTCCCACATCTGCGCCACCCCCCCCCCCCCCCCTCGCCAAGTGAGCTTCACTGCCACACCCTCTCACCCCAGGGCATCACTCCTCTTCCTTCTCCTGAGATGACCTCCAACTGGTACGCAGTACCCTTAGAGGCAGCTAAGTTATCATGGAAAAAAGCAGGGGTAGCCTTGATGTCCCCCAGCTTTGGTCCCACTGTCTTATCCCAGGATCCCCACTTTCTACTCCGTGACCGACCCACCTCTTCACTCCCCTTCCACCCTCACAGACACCTGGCACGAGAACATGACCTCCTCCCGCTGCCCCAGCTTTCTAACTCCACTTCCTGCAGAGCCACTCCATCAGTCATTGCATTCATTCTCGACCTGGACATTAGCATCTCTCCTGGGCCCTCCTCCCAAAGCAGCAAGTGCAGCTCTGGGGGCTCCAGGCCTCCAGCCTGCAGTGCCTCCTTCCTTTATTCTGGAGAAGACAGGACGGCAGGGCTAGACCGAGAAGTTGGGGAGACCCTGCACCCTTCCCAGAGGGAGCCGCTCCTTCCCTCTGCTCCCAGCAGCCCCTGTGAAGGCCGAAGCTCCTCTCATGCAAGCAAGCAAGCCCCAGGTTAACCGAGAGCGTCTTCTCTTCTGTTTCCCTGCGTGACCCTAAAAGTACGTCATGTACAATTCTCCCCCACCCACTCCGAGCCTCCCAAAGCTTTTTCTAACAAAACCGGAAGCAGCAGCTCCAGTCACCCACGCCCCCGGCTGGCCCAGGATCCTAATCCTGGGCTGGCAGTGTCCCTGCTCCGGAAGTCTGTTTCTCCCCTGAAGCTACTGTTTTGTCAACCTAGGGGAAAATAAGTAAATAAAAACCTGCCCGGGGAATTCTACCTCTTCATCCCACCCAGTTTCCGCTGAATGAAAAGGACCCGGGAAGACCGCTGACATCAGTTCCACCCGCAAACGTTCAGGTCCCAAACCCAAAACAAGCCCGGAGAGCATGACGGAGGTCCATGGTTTCTCACCCTGTTCCACCATCGCCGCCCAAGAACAGGATGAGGGGGACATAGGCCTCTTCGGAGGGGGACAGGGACCCTGCCAGCCCTGGGGATGAAGCAGCTTTCCTGCTGAGAAAGTAGAGCTCAAAAAGCCCCTCACATGCCCCCTGGCTCCCTCACAGAGAGCTCCAGGGGGCAGGCTGGGCAGGACCCCACTTCTTCTGGACTCCCCTTCTCCTTTTGGCCCATTTTCTTTCCCCAAACCACGGTGGCGACGGCAGGTCCCCAAGTGCTTGACAAGCTCCTTCTCAAAGCACCTGACCCTGTTCCTGGCCCACGAAACCTCCTGAGCCTGGCACAACCAAGGCGTCCAGTCAGGATGCAGAGTGGAGGGGCGGGCCGAAGCCAAGACCCGGGAATCGGTCTTTGTCCGAGCTCCTTCCGGCAAGGCTGCCGGACCGCGAACGGGGAAGGTTGGAAGACATTTGCTCTCCCACACGGTGGAGCGTGAAAGCCCTAGGAAGCTGAACCGGGCTCACTGCAATGGTTCAGGGACAGAGGACAGAGGACATGCGGTCCTTAGAAATGGCTGCACCCCATCGTGCACAACCTCACACAGGCACTCCCCCACCCCACCCCAGCACCTGAATGTGTGCCATCCCGGGGACATAGGTGCTGCATGCCGGCACTTCCCATCACAGTCCTTGCAGGAGGTACTGGAATCAGCTTCTGGGGTTAGGAAGGCCCCTGGCCTTCAAAGACACTGTCACTGAAGGAAGCGCTCTTGGGAGGAGAAATGAACCCGTGGCCACTCAGAGAGGGTGGCCTGTGTCCTTCCCTTGCCCTTGGCAACAGCTGCCGCCCAGTGGTCAGCCACACACACTGCTCCCATCTTGAGCATGCTGTGCTGGAGGTGAGGGCGTGGCCAGAGGAAGGGAAAAAGGATTCAGCACCTTGGTCAGCGCTGGTGACACTCAAGGTGGTGGGGTCCCCCTGGAAAGCTCAGCCATAGCCCCATAGCCCGCTGCACCTCAGCTCCTACTTTGGCTCTCCATCCTATATGACACCCCCAAAAAGGCAAAGCTTCCCCCTCATCTCCTTTTGGAACCATAAGGGCCCAGAATTCCAACTCAAGGCTGAGAAAGTCTGATCTAATTCATCCTGAAGACTCACATCCCTGACATCCCACATCGATGTGGAAGCCGAGACAGGTCGTGAGCACAGGTGGAGGCGCTGGATGCAGAGCGAGGCCCCGTGCCCAGCAGACGTGTCCGTGACCACTGATGGGCTCGTGGCAGAGGCAGAACTGCCCCGGATGGAAGACTGCCACCACCCCCGGCTCCCGTTGGCTGGGGCCGAGGGCCGGTGGGAACGTGGAATTGGATGTCCAGAGAAGGGTAACATTAGCCAGAAGGCCCAGGGTCCACCCCAGGGCGTGGGCCCAGCCCCGGCGATGAGGCTATTGACAGACAAGGGCCAGACACTGCCCCTTTCTGCCTCTTGCACGGTGCGTTGCATTCAGAAACCAACTGTGCTGCGCCTGGGATGGCAGACCCGCGGTGGAACCGGTCCCCACGAGAGAAAGGAAGCACTGGGTCTGGGTGGCGGAGCGCCCAGCCCTGGCAGGGAAGCGCCCTGCAGGAGCGGCCTCCTGCTCTCGGAGACCCCGCCGGCCTCAGGCATGGGGCTGGGCCCCTGGCAGCCGCCTCCAGTGCTTGGACTTGGCCGACGTGTGAGCAACTGACTGAGGAGAGGTAGATGTCCCCAAACTCAGCAGGACAGCAGCACCAAGAAGGAGAGACTTCAAGGAACCTGAAGGCCACCTGGATCCGGGCAGCCAGCAGGGCGGCTCCCGCACAGGAGGGAAGAGAAACCAGATACGCCCCGTCCCCCTCAGACTCTGCCCTGTGCCTGGGCAGTGCCATCATCTGACTGGAGAGAGGAGGAGAGGGGCGGGGGGAGATGGATGCATCTTTAGGTGTTTTAAGATGACCTCACAGAAGCGTCTGGTGCTAACAGTTGAACTAGGACAAGATTTGGGCAGAGCGCCCCTTCTACTTTCATTCCATGCCTCAGCCAGTTCCACTTAAACAGAACCAGGGGGAGGGAAGGGGTCCAGAGCACTCCCAGAACCCCCAGGCATCCTAGCTTTGTCTGATCCGGTCCGCCCACGCGGGGCCCACAGGGTGGAGGGGTCCCCCCCGGCAGAGAAGAGTCTGCAGGCAGCACATGGAGTGCAGGGAGAGGAGCCGCCGGCGGGCTCCCTGCACGTGGCAATTAATCAATCTGGGAAATTAGCTCCCACAAAAGGAAAGGAAGAACCCAGTCAGCGGCTCTGGATCAGCGCTCTGAGGGCGCCGAGCCGGAGGCGGGCTATGAATAGAGCAGCGGCGGTGAGGTGTGCGGCGCAGACGGCTCTGGAACGGAGGCCCCTGGGACCCCAGGCTCCCGCCGGCCGGGGCTGGGCGGCGTGAAGAGGGTGATGGGTGAGCACGTGAGCTGGTGCAGCAGGCAGGCTCCTCGACCCTGCTGCTAAGAAGCTTCCACTCCTGAGCCCAACAGTGGAAGGAAGATGCCAGCCCGGCCCTTTGCCTACCACCCTTTCTTCACCCAGGAACCAAGAGATTGAGGCTTGTGTTCCGTTCTGGGGCGACTCGTGGCTGCACCCCCAGAGCAGGCAGCTGGAAATCAACGGCAAGCCCCATTTCTGCTCTGGACGGGAGAAGGTGGAGAGTCCAATGGTGGGTTTGGCTGAGAAGGCGTGACCCCCGTTTCAGGGAGGAAAATCCCTGAGACGGAGGTCAGGACGCCCACCCAGCTCTCTGCAGTCCCGCTCGCCGAGCTTCCTCCTTGATCACTGACCATGGAAAGGAACAGCACTTTGCTTCAATGTACATCTATATACACAGAGAGAAGCCCACACACTACAAACCTATGATTTGCACCTATGTCTATATATATATGCAGCGCTTGGGAGGACTTAAAAAACCGAAGCAGAAGCCGAGAGCAGTACGAGCCATCGCTTTCCTCCTCACTCGCAAAGATCTTTGAAGAGGTGAGAAAAACCCACGGCGTGAAGAGGGGGGTGGTGGGCGGACTCAGGCATCCCGCCCTGTCCCTGGTCCACGTGCTGATCTCCACTCACCACCGGAGGGTCTGCTAGGCCCCATGTCCTACAGACGAGGCCAGCAGGCTGGGTGCGGAGGAGACACCTCTCTGCCTGGAGATAAAGGGGCAGAAGCAGAACAGAGGTGTGAGCAGCCCTCGGGAGTACCGGCCAGGACACTGGGGGCGGGGTGGGTGGTGGGGGTCCGAGGCCCGGGCACCCAGCACGGCTCACCCCGCCCTGGCCCTCGGCCCGCCCTCTCACTCCGGGAGCACTTCAGAGTGGTGTCGTCACAGCAGGGTGGCATGGCCGGGGTCGTCATGGTCCACGCTGTTGAGGATGGCCGTCTGGTCTTCCGGAAGCTGGCGATGGCACAAGTCTGAGAGGCGGGCAAAGGGGTCCGGCCGGGAGTGTCTCTTCTTCTTCCGGAGGCAGACAGCTTCGTCGGGCCACAGGACCTGAGAGTTTGGAAGCTGCTGAGCCTGGGAGGCAGGACCGTCTAGGGAGGTGGGCCAGGTGCACAGAAAAGGCAGAAAGAAGAGAGAGTGGGTGAAAAGGAAGACCGTGGC